CATGAAAATTAACAGATATAATCTTATCTGTTAAGCTTGCTTTCCTGCTTTTCTTTCACTGAACACTTAATTTGAAGAAAATTCACTTAATGCATTATTAACTTCAGCTTTGACAAATGCCTGTTCATGCAGCACTAATCCAATATTTTAAGCGTAAGCAGGGAACATGACTGCTCAAATTATGTCTTCAGGTAAAAAAGAAGAAAAACATTTTCACTGGCTACTGTTCTATCATTTACTAGCTAGGAAAAAGTGTCAAATAAGATTTGCTTAGGATCATACTATTCACTAATATTCTTATTACATTCTTCTAAAACTGAGCAATACAATGACACTTTAATATATTGTGCTTGGTTGGTTTACAATAAATGCAAATCCAGAAAATTTGCTTAATTCAATAATATATAATAGGGCCATCTAACTGATAAATGCCATTAGAAATAAAAACAGTAGCAAGAATGCAACTTAGTTTACATAACACAACTGAACAAGACTCATATCTTGGTTATTTACCTCAGCTATATGTGCTACAGCTCACAATTGGTATGGCTGACACATTGGTCATGTACATAGTTCTTGAAATATGAATGGCCATTCCCTTTGCACTTTGCATCCCCCTCCCACGCTGGATCAAAACCTGAGACAATCAGGGTCAACACTATTATGGAGAGGATTGTAGCCCTATCATTTCTGCCTGAAACAACATGCATGATCGTTGGTGGAAGAAGGAAATGGCAGATTATATTGGCTTATTTTCATGGTCAATAAATTCAGTTCCCTTAAAGTTAATTGATTGATCAAGTTTTCTTGTTTATTTAAAATTATATTGGAAATGTTTTCTTTTTTAAATTTGTGCTAAAGCATTTTTGTTGTTTGGGTTCACAAAGGTTTATACTACTAACTTTAGTTGTCAACTACTTGGTTCTCCAGGACTCAAGGTAAAAATAAATTGCACTAGGGGCTCTCTTCTAAGACACTGCTGGTCTTGAGCTATGAGCAGGATATTACAATAGTTGGATAAAGAATCCTGGATAAGAATCCCATAGTTAGGACAGCAGAATATCCAAATACACTGAATTAGTTGATTTGAGATTACTTAGGTGTCTCTCAAAGATATGTTCAAAAAAATTCCTTACATGGAAATATTAATATTATTATTAATAAAAATAATAATAGTAGTAATAAAACTTGCTACATTTTTCCAGATTTAAGTCTCCTTTTTTCAGAACAATACTTCAAAATCTTAAGCATTTCTAAAAACAGCAAATACAGAACGTTCAACAACATGATTCTATCAATGATTCATACCTTAACCTCCTCCCTTCCTTCATAGCTATTCCAAATAACAAATCAACATATTCAATTATGTACAATATGATCATCAGTTTTGATTATACCAAAATACTAAGCTGTATATTATTTTTAATGTTTGATTCTATACATTAAAGCATTATGCTTGTACTAGTAGAGAGATCCAAAGTCCTGATATTGCTGCACTGTTACTGTTTAAGAGCAGGGATAGAGAATTTGAGACTATTTCATGACATCACTCAACTTATTCTGTTCCTTTTGTATAACTTTATGCTTGTCAGAAAGAAAAAAAAAAGTATTACAGACAAAATGGTGTCATTATTCATCTTTGGTAATACTCGTACTTAATGTGTAGAGTCCTCCTATGCCCAGAGAGAGGGGGGAAATACGGATCTCTTCAGAAAAAAAAAATGGTTCAGCCTTGGCCTAGGCATTGCAGTAACTCCCAAATTACTGTGGCAGGTTTGCTTACCTTGTAAAGCTAGTTGCCTGCTGGTTGTTGATTAGCTTTTCCTAACTTGATAGCACAAAATTCTACAATTCTAGCCAGCATGGATATTGGAGGGAATTGAGGTGGAATTGCTGTGGTTTACTATAATATCCCAGTCCTCAACATTCTTCTCTTGAAACTGAGGTCAAGGCAAAATACAACTTTTGACTCTCCTGGATGAAGAACCTGAGGTCATCAGCATTTTGGGTAAAAATTTAATCCTATGGATCTTTGCTTCTTTTGTCCAGGAGCAGGAAGATACAACTACTCCTGGATGCGTTATCATACAAAACTTTTTATAGAATGGTGATATTTGTTTATATATTCAAATCTCCAATGTAATTGCTCTAAATTTATAAAAAATATTTTAGAAAAAGGATTCCTTTATTTAAGCAGAGCTATCATTAGGATTTATCTATCTTGTAAATATATGACTGATTTAGTTTTGGCATACAGGTAGTTCTCATTTAACAACAGTAATTGGGATGGGCATTTTCATCATTAAGTAATTGATCATAAACATATCAAATGATTTCATTGTTTAGTGACAGCAATCCTGGCAATCACTGTTGCTGTTGTTAATTGAAAGTTGTGGGTCATTAAATGATGATGTCACATGACTGGGTCTTGCAACTGCTTGCTGGCTTCCCAGAAGCAAGGTCAATGGAGAAGCTGGCTGGAAGTTGCAAATCCTGAACAGCTCTCATGCAGGACAGTGAATATTAGAAGTGACATAGTAGGGGGTTGTTGAGGAGAGTGTATGTAGTCTTGGGAGGAGTTGCTGCAGTGCCACGCAAGTTAATGAGGGCTGGGGAAAGGGTGTTGTGGTGCAAATATACCAAGGAATATGCACTCTGTGATCTCATACTCTGTAGCAGAGGTCCTCGGGAGAAAAAGCAGTGGGAACAATTTGCAATTTTTCCTTCCGGCTTCCCTGTTGGCTTTGCTTGTGGAAAGCTGGCAGGGAAGATTGCAAATGACAGCTACATAAGTGTGAGCAAGTTGCCCATCCCCTGGATTGCGACTGAATGACTGCAAGGGTGGTATAACACCTGAGGCGTCAAGGACCTCTTGTAAGTGCTACTCGTTCAATGGCATCACAACTCTGAATGGTTAACAAGTATTACCTGTAATGCAATTTGTAACATAGCTATTGCTGTTTAACACCAAGGATTCACTCCGGGTGAGAACCTAAGCCACAGAGTAAGGGCTGTTAAAGAATAAGTTTTTCTCCTTAACATTTTCAAGTAATTTTGTATAAATTATTAATAAACTATTAGTAAGTTTTTAGTGCCTTTACTTATGGATTAAAAACATCATTCTCAGTACTAATTCACATGGATAACTGATAACAAAAGCTACATCTAGATATTGTTGGTACATAAATGCAAAAAGACAAAATGTTACATCTTGGTATTGACTCAAATCAATAATTACTATCATATTTGTTAAAATATATTGGCTACTATAACTATATATTTAGGTTTTTGCTTTTTTTGCTCAAATTCGTCTCCCGTAATTCCTACAGATTCCTGCATTAGGGTTCTATTCAATGTATAGTTAAAGCTTAGTAAGAATGCTGTCTGCAATAAAGCAGGGAATAAACTATTTTGTCACAAATCTGTCACATGCTTGAGATTTATTACATTAATTACATGAAAATATGGAGTCCTTATGTAGGAAAAGGTGTAAAGCCATACTAAACAGAAAAATATGTTTTTTGAAGGCTTAAAAAAACATTGTTTTTTAGATGTGGAGTAAAGTATTTTATTAGCAAGGGTAACAAAAGCACTTCATTTTCCATTATTCACTAACTGATAAACTAAACATCACATCTCTTGTTCTCCTTACAAATGAGTAACACTTTGCAAATGCATTAATCAAAATGAGTCAGGTGATATTCTCTCTTGGAGTATAAAATAAACTTGACTAATTATTTGCCACTGACAGCTGTTCATGGGTTTCTGCTCAGAAAAATCTGTTCAGCAGTTTTGAACCAGGTCATTTAAAACAGTGCTTTTTGTCTTTCTGCATATAAAATTTGTAAAGGCTGCATAAAAAATATATGGATATTTTCACACTCACTGAAATAGATGGTGCAGTAATAAGTACTATATATATAAAATCAAAATGATAATCAACATTGAAACTGTACGTACATATGCATTTTCAACCCAAATAACATTTTACAGCTAGAGTTTTAGAAATTGGTGAGATTATAATTAAACAAATGTAATTTGACTGAAAATTTCTGTTGCAGGCTAATTTGGGAAAGGTTTTCCTAAACATTTTTTGCAGTTTTATTAAACAAAAAATTTCAAAAGCAAATCTCTATTGAAAATTGGATTACAGCAAACAAATGTATTCATATCCATTACCAATAGATAATACGTATTTATAGGGCATGATAGCATTGGCATTGGAGGCGTAAATTTAAAATTGGCTTTCATCACATAATGATTTGCTTAATGATTGCATTGCTTAGTGACCAAAATTCCAGTTCCATTTGTGGTCGTAAGTTGAGGATTACCTGTATCTTAGAACAGGGGTAGGCAACCTTGACTCTTTTATGACTCGTGGACTTCAACTCCCAGAATTCCTGAGCCAGCATGGCTCAGCTTGGAAACTTCTCCCTTTTCCCTCAGCATGGCTGGCTCAGGAATTCTGGGAGTTGAAGTCCACGAGTCATAAAAGAGCCAAGGTTGCCTACCCCTGTCTTAGAAATAGCTTTATTTTTTAATATAATTTTAAAAGTTTCTTTGGGGTTTAGTTATTTATTATTACTTATCCCAAAAGTGTTTTTTCAAAAGACAACTGGACTTTGTTTTTTCCTTGAAGACATTTTGCTTCTCATCCAAGAAGCTTCTTCAACTGAAGCAGCTTCTTAGATGAGAAGTGAAATGTCTTCAAGGAAAAAACAAAGTCCAGTTGTCTTTTGAAAAAATACTTTTGGGACAACCATACCTGGATGACTGAGAATCTTCATAGACATTTATTATTACTTGTTAAATTTATGTGCTGCCTATTTTGCTACTTTAAGGCAGCTTAAAAAGGAAGAAACGAAGCGTATAAACCTAAGTAAAACAATAGTACAATAAAATAAACAGTGAAAACATGAGAATACATCAACATGGTAACAAAAAGATGGATGGGTGGAGAGTAGAGAGCAGGGAGGGGAATCTGCCATCAATTCAGCAACTACCTCCAGCATGGCATTCCCTCATCTGGTCTCCAGGCCAACCAGAACCAGATCTTCAGGCTCTTGAGGAAGGATAGGAGGATGGGCACAGATCTTACCTTAGAGGGTAAGATGTTCCAAAAGGCTTTAGTTTTAGCTTTACTTTAGACATGAATATTTGGAAAGATTTTATTGATCTCAGTGAAACTTTTAATTATGTAAGGAAAAATATATTTACAAGATATATGTGATCAGTTTGAAAGAAAACTTTAAAATATTAAGGAAGCATACCATGTTTCCCCGAAAATAAGACCTATCCCGAAAATAAACCCTAGCTTTATTTTTACGTGTGAGTCTAATATAAGTCCTAAAATAAGCCGTATTTAACAGCTTGCACAGCTGCCCCCCCGCCCATTCCGTCTGGTTATTTGCGGTGCCGTCGTGAGGTGAGGCAAAGCAGGTGAAGGAGGGGGTGGAACTACCCCACATGTTCCACACCTGCTTACTTCAGGGCCCCACAGCCAGGCCTCCCATGCCCTGATACCTTCCTTACCTCGCAGTGGTAGCACTGACAGCCTTGTCTAGCAGGAGTCTGCATGACCGGTACCGGCCCACTTCTTCTGTGGCTGCTCGCTACCGCTTGCACTCGTTGCCTTTAGCCTCCATTTTACCAGCAGAGAATGGAGCTCCAGGTTGACTGACACATCGCCCCCCCCCAGCCAGGTTGACACATGTGAGCAGTGGAGAGCAGCTGCAGAAGAAGTGGGCTGGCGTCAGTCACATGGGCTCTCTTTGGATGGGGCTGTCAATGCCGCCACCACCAAAATGCTGGTTAAATGGAGGCTGGGGGCGATGCATGCGTCAACCTGGGGCTCTGTTCTTGGCTGCAGAGGCCTTCCCTGAAGGCCTCTGCCAGCGAAACGGAGGCTGGGGACAATGTGTGCAAGCAGCAGCTGCAGAAGAAGTGGGCCGATGATGGTCACGTGGCTTCCTGCTGGAAAGGGCTGTTGGTGCCACCACTGTGAGGCAAGATAATGGAAAAAATAAGACATCCCCTGAAAATAATGCCAAATGCCTCTGTTGGAGACAAAAAAAAAAAAAAAAAAGACTGGGTCTCATTTTTGGGGAAACACGTTATCAATAAACTATAAACAATATTCTGAAGACACTAAATTAGTTATGAACACAATATTCAGATTTAATAGAAGTCATCATATAACAATAGTTTGTTACCAATTATGATTTTGTTATATTAAGGATATAATATTTGAAACTAATAAAGAATTTGTAATAACTAAATTACAATGACCCAAAATGAAAAAGCAAAAATGAAAATAGTGGGCTCTTGACATCATTATATTTGATGACTTTCATGCACTTCATATAATTCAGGTAAATAACAGAATCAGTATTTTAATCAAATTGTAACATTGGATAAGTTGCAGCTTTAAATTACATTAATTTATTTGACTGGCATTTATATCCTTAATAATTCAATAATGAAGATTTGATTTTTTTTTGCATCATCATTATGAATTTTATCCAAACTGATTTAACTTTATTAAGTTGAAAAGGAAGATAATAAGAAAGAACATTCCACACATTCTATGAAACCTGAGAACTGTTATAGAACAACCAATGAATCCCAAAAAGTTAATCTCTGATTATTAGATTATTTAAAGATGTTCTGTATTTAAACCATACCTTATATACTGAACTTCCTCCAACTATCCAAATCTTGTCTACCTTTCTTTTCATCTCTGGTGTTTCAAGATGATCTAGGGCTTCTTCCAGACTTTTAGCCAAGTAGTGGGCCCCTTCAGGAACATCCCTTAAAGCATAAACATATTACCAATTAAAATCCAAGAACATTGGGGGGATAGATGTATAGCAGAGTAAGTAGCTGGACTTACTGTGAAGTATCTTTCTGGCCACCAATAGACAAACCTATCAGAAAAAGATTAAGGGCAAAACTCAAACTTCATTACGTTTCATGTAGGAAACCTCTCCTTTCAGATGCTTGCACTGTATTAATTTATTTGACTGGCATTTATGTCCTTTACAATTCAATATTGATGATTTGATTTTTTTTGCATCACCATTATGAATTTCATCCAAACTGATTTAACTTTTATTAAGTTGAAAAGGAAGATAATAAGGAAAAACATTCCACACATTCTATGAAACCTGAGAACTCTTATAAGACAACTAATGAATCCCAAAAAGTTATTCTCTGATTACTACATTATTAAATAGGTGAATGGAGAACGAACCTTCACCCTCATCCTACACCCGAGCTACAGATACTTGTCACTATTGCAAAAGAGAAAAAACATCAGGCTAAGGCAGTGCCTGCGCTCCTTTGAAAAAAAAGCAACTGGCCAAGACTTTGTTATTGTGCTATCTAACAAGAGAGAGGACAGAGGGCAGGAGTTGCAGCTCTCTTTTTGATATTTTGGCAGTTGTTTTGATCTCTTTCAATGCACAACAAGCATTAATTCAGGTAAAATAAATAGTGGGGCTCTCAGAAACAAAGGCAGCTGCTTCATGTTGTTGTACTGCCTCAGATAGCATATAACCAAGGCCCCTTCATGAGGCAATGGAGCCTCATCAAATATCCAGCAGGATCTGATGGCTAATAGACTATTTACTGCCTTCTTCACTATATTTAAAATTACATGTGGAGCTGGCTACCAGTCAGGTTGGCCTGAAAAAAGAGTTGGACCAATTCATAGAAGTCATGAGAATCAATACCTATGATGGCAGTAAGATTGCTTCTGAAGGCTATTTCTTCAATAGAGGCTTCCTTGTACAGTTTGTGGGCACTGTGAGAACAGATTGCTAGACTACATGGGCCAAGAGGATGATCCAGTAGGACATTTCTTATGTTCTTAAATAAAAGATATTCAAATCAGCCAAATACGAATTAAGAACATATGGAAGTGTTACCTATTTTTTAAAAAATAGTGGAACTCTGGATACTTTACAAATTATCTTGACATGAGTAATATAAAAAGCAGCTTTTAGAAATAATTGATTATTGAATGCACAGTCTGTTCTTGAGAAAGAAGAATTGGCTATCTCTTATTTTTATTTCCAACATTACATAGAAGGGTTTTGGTCTTCTTTGGTAAATTTATATATTTATTTATTCTTATTTATATAACCATTCATTTCACATACATTTTCTAAACAGCTTACAATAAAAGAGAAAATGCATCCAATAAAAAACAAAACAAAACACATAGTAGCCAAGCATCAAAAAAACAACTCTTAATAAAGTTTGCTTTATGGAAAAAAAAATTCTTCTTTTTTGCTTCTAAGATGGGCTTCATATATCTGTAAGTGCATCTGATTCATGTAAAATTTGTTCTCCCAATCAAACCAGCAGAGGGCATACCCACTTTCTGGAATATTCTACTCCAGAGTTCCCCAAGCTTTCCAGCTTTATGGACTGGGGGGGGGGGGGAGGAGAGGAGATGGTTCTGTGCGAACAGCCAGCACACTCTACTCCATTTGTGCAAGTGGTGTGCACACATGTCCATCATTCACACAAATGGAGCACATGTGCACATGCTCGCCCGCTGCTCAAGCAAGTGGGAATGTGTGCGGGCTGACCTGCTGTTTCTGCGGCCCAGCTGCAAACAGTCCATAGGATGGGGATCCATGCTCTACCCTACCTAGGTGATTAAATTTTTGTTCAAATTTAAGTTAGTTAAAATACTGCTCAGCTATGAAAGTCAAGCAGTATTCAATTTTAATGTAATAGAGTTAAAACTTTAAAACAACAGAGTAAAATTAAACAAGCCAGTATAATCCTTCAAAATGCTTGGAAATATACATTAAATATTATGAACTCCTAAAATTGATACCAATACCAACATTAGTTAAATTTGAATTCGAAAATTATTTATTTATTTAGAATGAATATTTTTTAGGTCTAATATGTTGTTTTTGTGTCTTTGGCATGAAATACATACATTTATCTCAATCACATATCTACTTTAGGAACTCTACTTGAATTATTGCACTTTGGCAACAGATTTAGAAGTTATAGCAAAGAGGGTGGGCACTTTGATTTGGAATAGCAAGTAACTTAGTCATACAGAAATCATTAAAGAACCTGCTGATATATTAGTGTGGGGTTTCCCCAGATTATACACACTGTTTTTAAAAATCAAAGACATAATACATGTATTATATTGGGGGCTAAAAACTAACCTTAATAAAATCTATATGCATTATTAATGCACTAAAATTAACATACATTTACTGGGGATGCTAACTAAAAAAGCAAGGTTCTGTGCAATCTGCTCATAAAATCAAAGATATGTGAAAATGAAATATCCACGAATATCTCACATTAAAATGAAAAGAAATTATTGCTGCTAAACAGCTCTTTGACAAAATGGCTATATGTATTTCTGAACAAGTAAATTATAGTTAATCAAATATAATTATTACAAAGTTGGTGATGCTATCATGTTCACATCACTCTCAACTATCAATTTACTCATTGTAGCTGATTTTCTTAAATTTTGGAAAAAAATCAACATTAGTACTTACTTTAGTTCTTTACTAAGTACTACATTAATTCTGTTTTTTAAAGGACGATTTTTCTCAGGGATGGAGTACCAAGTCTTCCTACCCATTATGACCACATTTTGCTTTCCTGTAAAATGCAAATATATTTAATATGATTATGTAGTGACGCCTAGTGGTTATAGAGTGCTATTTTTAGTCAACCTGTTTCAAGCAGTATTTCAAGCAGTACTTTTCAAAATTTGTAAAGCTCTTAATATCAGTGGCTCACTGCTAGCTCAGCTAAAGAAGAAAATAAAATTTGGATGGCCTCTGATGAAGGATGATTTCCATTTTTTTTAAAAAAAGGATCTTAGTTTTTCATTTCTTCTGTGTTTCCTGATAGACAGCACAAAACATTAGGAGATTTGGACTGCAAATATATCAAGAAAATGTAAAGTTCTGTATGACATAGCCATTTTATGGCTATTCCTGGCCAATTGTTGGATTTTACATTTTTTATTGATTTTGTTATGACACTGTGGTGTTCATTGTTGTGGGGATTGTTTCCTATTGTTTCTATTGGTTTTTATTGCTGCCACAAAATCCTTCCCTGATTTGAAAAATATTTTGTTGTAAAATGGTGGAAATGTCCTTCCTCCAGCCTCTCCCAATCTTCTTTCTTTTCTGATGCATCCCAGCCCAGAAATCTTTCTTTCCTGTTCCTTCTTTCCAGAATATAAATTGGGGCAAGTCTCTAATATCCTATTATCACATGGACTGATGAATTGATCCTTACACTAATAGGGATAGAAATGGACACAAATTGTACTTAGTTGTGCAGTCCTTAGTTGAAAGACTTATATGAGAGCTAGGTGTTCCCTTATTCTTTAAGTCATTTTAAATCATTTTAAATAAATCACTCAACTAAACATTTGGAATTATGCTAACATATTTTGAAGGTTGTAGTAAGATAAAGATAAGTAAGATAAGATAAAAATACAAAATGTTAAGACTGTAAATTATATTACTATGCAAAATAAATATGACACTGTTTTCTTAACTTATTAAGGCTTTGCCACTGATTTCAGCTGAACCAAGAATGTATTTCCACAACACAAAAAACATTATTCCCATTCAGCAGCATTTGGACTTGATATAATCAATAATGTGCTTGGATCCTCAAAGCAGATTTGAGAATGTTTTGATGCAGTTTCTTTCTAAATCAGGAGTGGGGAACTATGGCCCTTTTATGATTTGTGAATTCCCAGAATTCCTGAGTCAGTTGAAGTCCACAAGTCATAAAGGGTCCCATCTACAATGACAGCCATCACCCAATCCAGGAAAAATTAGCCACTATTACCTTCTTCTTTAGTTGTCATTGTCATTTTCTGAAAATGCTTATACTCATTCCTGTAGAAAAACAAAAACACATTTTGTGATGATGTAACCTTCATGAGTACTCTCTATTATTACTCCCAAGATCTGGAAACTTAATTAAAGTAAGTTAATTGATTAAAGTTAATCAACAAACACCCACACCCACACACACCCTAGTCCCATGGAATGTTGAAATCTGAAGTCCTTTAATGTTCTTTGGTTCTGCTCTTATGTCAAGGTATCAAACCACTAAGGAATTCTTATACAGTTAATTCACACAGACCGATTTTAATTTTTACAACTGTCTCTACATTGCAATTCTCTTATTTACAATGTTCAGTTCTACTCCTTCAAATACATCCCGAGGGACAACACAGAACACACACACACACACCGCCCCCAGAAATGTGCCCTTTATTCCACTTGCTGCATCCTGTAAGTTTGCTGTTCTAAAGGTCAGTGATTTGCTGAAACATTATTTAACCCTGGGCGATTTCTGTCTGAAATCTGTACTTCAAGCTTTTGCCCAGTACTGGAGTATCGAATTTGAAAAGAGGATTTCAAAGCGCTTTCTAATTATTTGGTTGGCGGCAAAATAATGCTGTTCCTTGAAAACCGCTTAGATGAAAAGGGCCATATGTCCCATCTACCCAGCTTAGCGTAATATTGGTTAGGGACTGGCAGAGGGAAAATGAATTCAACAATAAACTACTGTTAGAGTTCGATAAAGAAAAACTTGTGCTATCTACTAAAAAATATCTGCTACCCTCTGGGTAAAAAAAACCCAAAAAACCCCCGTATGATCGTATTAACTACAACCCCCAAGCTACACACTCCCATTCAGAGAGATCATTCAATGCAACTTCCAATGCAAGGCAAGCAATGCATGCTGGGAATTGTGGTTTTTCTCTTCGAGTTAAAGCGCGGGATAAAAGAAAAGAAGCAGGACTGTACCTGAGCGGAGGCCAAGGAAGCTTCCCGTCTTTTCCAATGCCCATGTTCTTGCACACAGCGACGATCGAGTACAGAGACGCTACCATCGCTCTTTTTTTTCGCCGCAGCAACTCTGTATCGGCGAGTCCCCTTCCTCGCCGGACTTCTGAGCAAGGGAACCTGCGGAGCATGCGCAGAGAGACGCGCCTCCCGCGGGAAGAGGAGAGCGGGTGGTCTTGGCAGCCATGACGGTGGGGTCGGTTTCGCTCACCGGCGAAGTCGGGGCGCTTCTGTGACCTAACGTCCGCGCCTCGTCCATTGCGGGAAGGAAGAGCCCGGGTAGCCGCCGGCATACGACTTCTCCTAGAGCTCCCTCGGCGACCTGCTCTTCTCGTCTCGTCTCAAGCAGCTCATCGCAGGCGGTGGCTACTTTCCTAATATTTCTGCTCTTGCACGGAGTCTGCGATGCTGCCTAGGCGAAGGAGGAGGCGGCCTAACCCCGGTGACGGGTCTCGGGACCAGCCCGTATTAAGTAAATTC